TGTGACTCAATTTAAAATACTTTTCAATTTTATTATAACACAAATTTTGTTTATTGATTTTAATTTCATTTTTTCTATATATGAGAACAATTTTAACACCTATTTTTTTATATTTTATTTTTTATTTTTTATTTTTTATTTTTTTTTATACATGTTGAATCTTTGTACCTTGCAGCGATTTTGTCTAATTTCAATATCATTTTTGATAAGTACCAATATAATATATTTAGTTTATTGTACAATATGAATAAAAAATAAAATAAAAAAGGTAGCCAGCCAATAATGGCCCAGACAACAGCACTACGTACGATGGCAACACACATATTATATCTTATACTAATAATCTTGCTCAAAAAAAATAAAAATAAAAGAGGACGTATATGTTTATTTCACCCAAAGAAAAACAAACAACTTTGGCTTTATATTTGGCTTTTTCATATTTAGCAACAAATGCTAGCAATGAATAGTATATGTTTGGTCATTTCTTCAACAACCAATTTATGTTTTTACATATCATCATCATCATCATTATTATTATTATTATTATTATTATTATTATTATTATTATTATTATTATTATTATTATTATTATTATTATTATTATTATTATTATTATTATTATTTGTAATTCTCTACTAATTATTTTGTAATATACATATCATTTGTATTTTTTCCTTCTCATTCTCTATTTTGTTACCATATTTTATTTTTATAAGTTAATGAGCGCAATTAAAGGCTCGAAAATATTAAAATTTAGGTAGTTTTCTATAATTATGCCCATTATTATTGGTAAACAAGTCGAACTCAATCTTATTTATAAATTTAAACTTATTTTATCAGTTTATTTAGTTAAGATGTAGAGTTGTTACAACTCAGCTCAATAAAAACTCGAGTTTGTGCTAAAAAAATAAAGAGCTTATATATATCACAAGCGCTCTTGATAAATATATTGTTGTGAAATCAATGTCCAACTATAAACGTTACAAAATTATAATAGAAGATCTAATTGTGTTTAACTTTAACCACACACTAATTAATTAGGTGCCAACCATTATAATGATTTTTTATTTACACCTTTTTATCATGTCATAGTATTTTTTATGCAACCAACTGATTAGTACTAAAAATCTACTCAAGATAATCATGATTTTGTTTTAATTACCACGAATTATTTTCAAATCAATCACAAATAAAATCACTCCATAGCATATTGGTACATCTTAAGCTTTACCAAGTGGGTCATTTCAATTTTCAAACACCAAAAGCAAATTTCAGTTTAACTAAAACTCAATACAATCTTTTTCGTAAAGGAATTAAAAAAAAAAACTCGTTCATATGAACGACACAATTAAAATTCGGTACATCATAGTTATAATTTTTAATCAAACAAGTTGCTCGTTAAGGCTCGTGCTCGAGTAATTAATATTGATAAATAGGTCGTGCTCGAGCTCATTTATCCAATCGAATCCGACTCGATAAAAGCTCAAGCCCAATCTCGAGTATCAGAAGCTTGACTCTAGTAGTAGCCCGAGTACAATATCTGGTACATTCAATTCTTTACAAGCCCACGTTAAATAGCCCCACAAAATAAAAAACAACAAAGCCCATTAAACTATGATTTAGAAATAGTTGTTGTGAGCTTAAAGGCTAAGTACATGAACTAACCAAAATTTTCCCAAGCAGCCCAATTTGGTTTGGTTAATATACAGTCCAAGTAACAAATAATGACTCAGATACCTTTAAAAAAAAAAAAAAAAAAATTACAAAATTTTGATTGCGTTAAAACCTCTGTTTATGTGTATGTATATAATGCTCTTTTTTATAATTTTTTTTTTTTTTTTCTAATATCACTAAATTACTAGTTTCCTATGAGTAGTGAATAGGCAAACAGCTTTTTCTCACCTTTATTTTATTTCACCTTTGTTTATTCCATACGTAATGTAAAAGCCTCCTGATATTGAAAAAGCTGGCTCATAACTGTGGCTTCACAAACTTCACAGCCTAAAGAGCCCTAATATGATAACCCAATTTGAAGCATGTGAAAAACTTATTATTATTATTTTTTGGTACAAAAGGAGGCCGTAGCCTTATGGTAACTAGATCAATACTCGACGTGGATGAGCCACACCTAACATGTCATGGTTCAGCCAGTGGCCAATATCCTGTGGCGGAGAACTAAGATGATGAAATCCAACCGGAACACTAGCAGCTAACGCTGCTAACGTATTAGCCGCGAAATTCCCTTCCCTATATATGTGGGACAATCGAACACTCCACGCCCGTCTATTATTTTATTTCTCATAAGAACACAAATCATCATGTTTTTATGGTTTTCAATAACTAGGATCTAATTGCAATAATCACTAAGCAAACTATCAAAATGTATTCATTAATCATAATTAGGATTGACTTTGCTTCTAAGGGGCACATGTCCTTTTTGAGTTTATTTATTCATAAATACAATTTGATTTGGTTCGTGAAAACTTAAGTCCGGTTGCTTATTTAAACGGCCCGAGTCGAGACAAGCTCGTTCGCGATTCTTTTTTAATTATTCTTTTATATATTTAGAGAAACAGCCAAATCGAGCATAGACACTGACGCACAAATCGTGTTATCAAACAACTCATTTACGATTTAATATCGTGTATTAAACAAGTCCAAACTGAATTGAATTATTTTCTTTAACGACCATGAGTTCGAACATGCAGACTCCAATAACACATTACTTTTTCTTTTTTGTTTCACGTGTTTTTGTATGTCAGCACTACCTGAATTTAATACAAAAAAACAAAACATGGGATTTTGTTTTAACCAAAATTATTCCAAAAAATGATAATGTACTTTATTTGCCTTAACAATAGTAGTATAGTAGAGATGATCTTAGGACACGGTGATGATCTTGGTCTCCACGAACCCATTGTTCAGGCCATTCGTGATTTCCTCAAACAAGAGTGGAGTGTTCGTGTG